GGTGTTTATGAGGATAAATAAGAATGTTAGGACAAAGGGTTCATCTCAGTAACTCAAGGAATTTTAGCAATTGTCATTAATATTATTTTGAGCTGTATTTCAGTAAATAAAATCCATTGATTGGAATATAAAATTGACTCACCTAAATTTCACTCTAATTGCTGTGTGACTTGGAAACACAATGATATTTTGGAAATAGCTCATATGTTCTTAGATGTATACTCTATTCAAATAATAGGAAAGATAACACTCCTTTATTTTTAGAGAGAATAAAAGTAGCAATACTTGAAATAGATTCATAAGAGAAAGGAAACCTGCATTTTCATAAACGCAAAAAAAGCAGACTCAATCTGCTAAACTCAGAGATTCACATAAAGAGATTTGCTGTGTACCATATGTAAAGATTAAGGTAACAGAGAAATTGCTGAAAAGACATTTTTAAATTTAAAAATATTTCAAAAATATATAGACTTACGTTGTTAGAAGTTACCAATATCTCATTATTTAAAAACTATTAAAAGTTCAGTGGTCTAAGGACCAGAGAAGTATTTTCTGAAGTATTTGCATCACCAGTTTTGCCTTTGTTTCTCTGTGACTCCTGATTCATAGGGAAGTAGGCAAAGTATAAAGTATAACAATTTATTACTAGCTCTGCCACTAGTATGCAAAGTGCAAGTCATTTAAACTCCATATCTATTCCCGTTTTTAAGACTGCGTTTCAGAAGCATACTAGTGGACTGTTTGGTAATAGTATATCTGCTAAATTTGTTGTAGGCCCTGGTGAAATACAAAATTTCTCCTCTAAGTCCTCAAGTATGACAACTCTTCATCCACAGAGTTTCATATAACTACCAAAGTATTTGTATTCAAAACTTGACCCTGGTACTCTAGCCTTTTATAGTATGGTTATAGTAAGAGGATACAGGAAAAGGGTGTTTTTTTCTATATATATCTTATTATTCCTAGAGATGTTTGTATCATTCCTTAGGCTGTCCACACCTCTTTCTAAACATGCCTCAGGAGACAACACAGGGGCTCTCTTCCAAAAAATAAAACCACAATAAAGCCAAGCCAAACTCAAGCACCTCCCAGGCAGCTTATTTTTTGGAAAATCTGTCTCATGTTTGGGTGGGGGTAGTCTCTAGAGAGAGGCTTCAGTATGATTAGGAGCACTTGGAATAAAACTCACAAACATTCACAGTCAGAAGAAAAACAACCAGAAGGAAAATTAGCATCAAAAGAAAAGAAGAAGTGAAAATTTAACTCCATAGTCTTTTCATCATGGAAGCTTGCTTGGTTTCCTGGGAAATGAACTCGTTAGGATATTGTTTCTCTATGTCTTCGGATAAAACAGAGGGATTGTGGATATTGGGCAAGTGGGAGAGAGAGAAAAGAAAAAGTTCCAGATGTGAAAATTGATCAGGGAAAGAGAATTCCTTGGGAGATAATTTTTGATTCCTCAGCAGAAAACACAGTACTTCTTTCTTTTTCTGTCCTAGAAGTAATCTCAGGAAGGATTGTATATTTGTTCTTTTGGTGAATATAATTATTACTGAAAAATGTTCTGAAGTTCAAGCCCTCACTTCACAGTAAGGGTATGAGTTCACTCTTTT